TGCCCTCCCTCCTGTTACTAGGGATGAAATGATCATGCACCCAGCTAGGTTAACCTGCCACTAGGTCCCGTGTCATCATCTTGTTTTCCCTTTCTATTGGATCATTCCCATTAGAATACAAATATGCTTTTATTTCTTGTCTTAAAAAATTTTTTTTTCTTAAATCTATTACAGCCCCCATTATCACTCCATTTCTTTGTTCTTTATAGGAAAACTTCTTATACGAGCTGTCTATACTAGCTGTTTCCAATCTCCTTCTCTGTTTCTTCTAAAACCCACTACATTTGTGCTTTTGCACCTCAGCAAAAGGGAAACTGATCATCAAGTCACCAGTGACTTCCACTTGGTCAATCTGTGAGGGTTATTGCTAAGTCCTCATTTTACTAAACTGCCAGCATCATTTGACATACCACCTTTTCCTCCAACACTTTCCTCATGTGGCTTCTAAGACACCACATTCTCATGGATTTCCTCCTGCTCACGCCCCTTTGCTGGTTCTTCCTTAACTCCCTTCTTAATTCAGGAGCACCCCTAGGTGTTGTTAGAGGAACAGCCAAGAGGCCGCTGTGGACTGGCGGCTCCACTGAGGACTGGAAGCTCAAGCCTCACATTTCTTTTCACCATTTACATTAACTCTTTTGGTGATCTCACCCAATCTCATAATTTTAAACTCCATTTCTCTAATAGTATCTCCAAGGGTATATCTCCAGCCCAGATCTCTACTCTGAACTTCAGACTGCATGTCCAACAATATGCTAACATCTCTGCTTGGACGTTGAACAGGCAACTCAAACTTGATATGCCCAAAGTCAAACTCCTAACCTTACCCCCACAACCAACTCCTCTTGTGATCCACTTTCTCAGTTGCTTAGGTGAAGAACATTGGGATTATACTTGAATACTCTTTCTTACCTCCAAAATCCAATTCATCGGCAATTCCTTTGCCCCTACTTTTAAAATATAACCTGTATCGAACCACCTCTTACCACCCTAGTCTAAGTCACCATCATCTCTTACCTACATTATTGCACTAGCCCCCTAACTGGTTTCCTACTCTACCCTTGCCCCTGCAGTCTATTCTCACCAGCGCAGTGGAGAGATGCTATTAAAGCAAATATTAGTTCATGATGCTACTCTTTTCAAAACTCTCCAATGGTTTCCCATTTTCCTCAGAGTAAAAGCCAAAGGCCCTTATTCATAGGGTAACCATACTCACCTCTTGATTCACTGACCCTAGTCCTACTACAACAGTTTGTTGCCTTGGCGTATGTATTAACAACGTTTCCTTTGCTTAGACGTGACCCAGAGTGGTCTAGATATTATATGGCCAACCTACCCTTGAAGCCCTACAGCATCTACATCCGTCTCCTACCTCTGCTCATCTGCTCCTGGACTGTTGCCAAGAAAGCGCTGTGGTTCATAGAGCAAGAGCTTCCTTTGTCTTCTAGATTCAAATATTACCTTTAGTGAAATCTTCTCCACCAACCCCATTTAAAATTGAGCCACATTTTCCTTCTCATCCCCTTTCCTATTTTTTTCCTTAAAGTCTTTAACACTAATATATGTAGTATACTTGTTTATCTTGTTCATTGCCTGCCTCCTTCCAATATAAAGATGAGCTCACGAAATAGGAATTTTTGTTTTCTTCGCTGCTGTAGCTCCCGATTCTTCCAACAGCCCCTGGCACTTAAGTAGCCCTTAACAACCATTCTTTGACTGACTGTAGGAACCCCAGCGGACCTGGGGCTGGCTCCTAACATGACGATAATGACCCCGCCCCACCTACTGGGAAGGGAAGATGGCGGCGCCCGGGAAGGCCTCAGAGAGAGGGCAACCAACGAGAGGGCGCCAGTAGCTCGCTAGAGCGCCTGCTCCGTGCCTGTTCTGCGGTTGCGTCCTGGGAAGGCGCACATTCTGGGTGGGCTAGCTGGTTTTCTTCCCCAACATTTTTTAAAGAAAAAAACAGATAGCCAATCCTCAGGTTGTGTGGTCAGACCTGCCTTGCTGCATCACTACTGATTGGGATCCCCGGTATCCGAGGAGTGTAGGATGAGGTTGTGGGATTCAGTAGCTGGGTTTTTCTCCCCAGGTGTTGGCTCCCAGGTCATATTAGGTGTCTTGCAAGTGTCTGTCCATTCTAGGGATCCCCTAACACAGGTGTCCCCAACCTGCCCACAGACCGGTATGCGGTCTGTGGACTGTTAAGAACCAGGCCGCACAGAAGAAGGTGAGAGGCGGGTGAGTGAGCGAAGCTTCATCTGTATTTGCAGCTGCTCCCCAGTGCTAGCATCACCGCCTCAGCTCCACCTCAGATCATCAGGCATTAGATTTTCATAGGTGCACTGGTCACTGGTGCCAAAAAGGTTGGGGACTGCTGCTAACACACCCCAGCCTGCCCCTCAGGGCCAAAGACATCCGATTCGCCCGGCGGAGGTGGGGGGGTGCCTCACTCCAAGTTCAGGTCCTAAATGCTAATTCCCTGGTGATCCACCCTCCTCTGCTGTGAGCTCCCCAGGACTGAGTCTAATGAGCCCAGACCCCCCTCCCTCAGGCCCCAGGGGCAGATGAGCCCTTAACCACCGCCCCTACAATTTCCTGCAGACCCAGCAAACAAAAGCCTCGGGAA